TGGTTTAGTGGATGTAATTTAGGGTTTATTTAGGTGAATGTGGATGCATGGTTTAGTGGATGTAAAGGATAATGGGATGGTGTGGAATTAAAAGCTAAAAAAAATGGGATAATGGGCATTTAAGTGTGAATGGAATGGTGGGATGCACTAATGGAAATTATGGAATGGAATGGTGGGATGCACTAATGGAAATTATGGAATGGAATGGTGGGATGCACTAATTAGGAGGAAGAATTAGGGTGAAGGGCTTAATGCATGGATTTGGGCCAATTAGGGTGAAGGCTTAATGCATGGATTTGGGCCAATTAGGGTGAAGGGCTTAATGCATGGATTTGGGCCTAAAATGCCCCCCCTTGCATGGCAAGGGAAAGGACTTGGGCTAAAGCCCACGGCAATGGCTCTAAAATGGGCTAAGGTTAGGGTTTAGGTGCTCTAAAAGCCCAAAGCCAAGAATAGAAACTCACGACAATGGAAACCTCCAAGAATAGAAACTTCCAACTTTAGAAACTTTGGTTACCAATTCCGACTTCCTTGCTCTTCACTTTCATTTCTTCATTTCTTAAGCTCCTTTGACCTTCAACCTCGTTCATTCCTCGTGCTCCATTTGCATACACCACATTCCAGCTCAGTTTTGCTCCAAAAGCTCCCAATTGCATCATTTCATGTAATATGTCCTTTAAACCTGAAAACACATGAAAGTAGCTTAAAAGACTACTTTAACGAATAAAACATAACAAAAATGCATAAGAACTAGCTAACTAAGGCGCATAAATATGCTCCTATCAAAGCCTCAACTTTAATTTCGCTAGATTTTAGCACATGTTTAACACCTTTTAAACACCAAAAATGTCCAGCCCATATGCTATTCACGCCTGCTATCCAATCCAAGTCCAAAACTGCTCTAAATTGCTCCATTTGACTATTTATTGTCATCTTTATCAACTGGACCTTCAATAAAACGAAAATAACTTAAATTACTATAATAAATGGAAATTAACTAAGTAAATGCAAAGAAATAAGATAACAAAGTTGCATAAATATACTCTTATCACGTACCTCAATCGGCTCTTCTTTGAATGGTACAAGTAGAGGAAGAGTGACCTGCACCAGTATTTCGAGATATTTGATGATTCGCAAGTCACTCTTGAGAAGGGTTGTCTGAAAGAGTTCGAGGACCGGGAACAAAGTTGGGTTTGGCTCTGCAGTCATTTTCAAGAGCCTGCTTTTTTTTGTGCTACTTAATTTATTTTACTTTTTGAAATTTGTTACGAATGTTACGAATGTTTATTAATTTTTTTATATTTTCTTTAAATATTACAACTAATACGTTTATTTTGTGTATAACAGAAGAAGGTGAAGGCGAACAAGATCAATCCGGAGAAGAAGACTCTTCTCCACCATTCGGGTTCGTGGTCCTTCTCATATAAGATGGAGGTGTGGCAAAAGGTATATATTAAAGCTTTTACTTCCAATTTTAAAATTTCGCTAATAATTGTTTTTTTGTTTCCGTACTCACATTTTTCTTTTTTTTTTTTTCTATTCCAGGGGGTTCTAAATTCTCGAAGATCGACGCTTTTGCTAACGTTTATGTTTGGTCCGGGGATGAGTTGGTCGAGTCGCTTTATATAAGTATTATTCAATTTTAATTAATGTCTTATGCATTCAAGTATTATAATAATTAATTCAAATTGTTTATTGTTAATATTACATATTTTATTTCACAGGCGACTATGGTGGAGAAAAGCCAGTCGGTTCTTCAAGAGTCCGCCTCCCAGCTTCCCCAGAATATGCTGATCGAGTCTGTGGATCCTTCCGAGGATGCGGGGTTTCACATCCTTACAGAAACGTTGGACCAAACCCTCGATTGAAAGCCAGGGACTCATTGTCAGGGGATGGGGAATGCTAGGCGGTGGGAGAGTGGAGCCTCTTCATCCTCACAGTCGAAGGGCAAGGTCACGGCTTTGACGTAGAAAGTCGCTAGCCTGAGAAGTGAGCTCGCATCATACAAGACTTAGATGTGGTTGATCATACAGGCCCTCAGTTCCTCCGAGATCCGTCTCCTCGATATTTCTACACCACTGACATTAGAGCCTCTCTATTCCGTGCATACCCAGCATTCAGACACGTCAACCTTCGACCCCGTCAACCTTCGACCCCGTCCTTAACCCCGAGCCTATCCCCAACGCTAACCCCTTCCAGCAGCTTCTCGCTTTCTTTTTAAACTTTGTATTTGTACATACATTTTCATTTATATTATAAATAAATTGTTTTTCTATTCCTTATTTTGTTTTTTGGCAATTTTATTAATTTTTTTTATTACAAAATTGAAACCATAAAAAAATTTCAAAAAACAAATTTCACTTGCACAACGAAAGTAAGTCGTCGTGCAAAACTACGTGCATCATTTACTTTCGTCGCACAAAACTATGTGCATCATAACAATTTCGTTGAGCAAACATTAAGGCGACAAAAGTATGTCATTAAATTATTTCAAAATTCCGATTAATTTGTTGCACAAATATTTTTGAGACGAATCAAAGACATCCCCAATAATTTCTCATCACGCAAAGTGTTTATTGAAGTAATGTATACAGAGAAAATTGTGTATATTACTGACTTGCAAAACTAGCATATCTTCTTCACTCTCTATTTTCACTACAACTTTAGGCTGTGCACACATCTCCACCTGCGCATTGAAATAACACCAATACAAGAAATATAGAAAGGAACGCAAAATTCCACATTGTCTGACAGAGAAAAAATTAGAGAGAAGTGTGTTGCTTTACCTATTTAAAGCTTTTTGTGCTCGATGGAGGACCTTTTTGTACAAGCCTAAAGTCGCATGGCTAAACAATGAACAAACATTCCGATAACGAGTTTGAACAAAAAATTAATTTGATCAATAGAGAAAAAATAACTAGACAATAAGGGCTCGTTTGGAAGTGCTTGTAAAATGAATGAAAGTCCTTTTAAAGAAAATGTTTTTAGGTATCAAAAGTACTCGAAATGTACCAGTTATGTACTTTTTGCATGATGTATTTTAAGGGTTTTTCATGATTTACTTGCATTTTAACTAAGTATTGATTTCAAAAACATTTTTACCAAAAACATTTTCAGCTATTTTAAAAATACTTCCAAACAAGCCTTAAAATTATTATTCAGGGAAAAGAAGTCAATCATTTAACAAACATAACACCTATAATTGCTCAATTTGAAAATATCTAAAAGGGTGGAGATGAAGGATTGGCCCAATTTTACTGCACCAAACATAACACCTATACATGCATGATGTATATGAACTTGTTGCTATTTTGGATAATACTCATTCATCATCAAAATATGCACTCAATTAAGCATTCATATTAAGGAAAGCGGCTGAGATGATAGCCCTGGAAAACTCGTGAAAACCGATACGGCCATCTGGCCGAACAACTCCTTGGGTTGGCCCAGCTTGGCCATCGAGTGGGCCAGTTCCACCGGGATGATGTACCCGTTGCCGTCCCTGTCAAACAGGCTGAACATGTCCCTCCGCTGATCCTCGCTGTACTAACATGGGCAGCTGGCGTCGGCTTGTAAGAGTCCATTGATGTCCCGCCTCATCAGCGCCACAAACTCCGAGAACTCGACCAGTACGTTGTGGTTGGTATCCGACTTTCGAATCAGAGCCTGCAGCTGCTGATGGCTAGGCTTCAGCCCAAACGACACAGCAGTGAGCCCAACTCCGACTCGGCCAAGCTGCTGTCTTTGTTGCCGTCAAACGATCGGAAGATCTCGCGCAGCTGTGCCATCTGCTCCTCCTCCATATTGGCCGCCGCCACCGATTTATATTGTTTGCTTCTAGTGCTACTACTGGTACTACTCATGATCTTGCATGAGTAGGTTATTGCGATGAGAGTAAATTGGGGTGAAGATATATAATGCATAATGTTGATCATGAGTCAATATTAGGAAAAAAGGAATGTAAATAATATGAGTCCTTTTTTAAGTAGGTTTGTATTAAAGCTTTTGTTTCCTTGTGGAACTTAGATTGTACATGTATATATTTCAGAATAAGTAATACAAGAAAACATTCCGTAAAAGTTCTATTGATATATAATGCATAATACGGCCATGGCCGCCACAAATAATTCAACTAACATTGTGATGGGGGTGAAGATAAATATAAAGATCACTAAACGATAGGAAATTAGGAACAAAGACTTATTAATTAAATATTTAATTAAAAACATGAGCAGTCTGCAACATCATCAACAGTCACCTTGGCCGAGTGGTTAAGGCGTGTGCTTGCTAAGTGCATGGGGAGCCCCCGTGAGGGTTCGAACCTCTCAGGTGACGATTTGTTTTTCATTTATTTTTAAATATTCTTTCCATAAATACTTGCCTCCTTCCTAAACATTATTTCAAATAGAAACAATAACTATGGCTAGACATTCTTTAAAGCAGAAACGGCAAATATGGTAATGTGTGATAGTCAGTGGATCAGATTTAATGCAAGCGTTTCGTAGTTGCAATTGTAATTTGTGTCCGCCATGCTTGTGGTGCTATATCAAGATCATGTAAATTGGAATACCCAATCTCTGTAGGGAGTATACGTGTGTGTGTGTGTGTGTGTGTGTGTGTGTATATATATATTTTTTTTTTTTTTCTTTCGATAAATACTTGCCTCCTTTCTAAACATTATTTCCAACAGAAACGGCAAATATGACTAGACATTATTTAAAATAGAAACGGCAAATATGATAACGTGTGATAGCCGACAGATCAGATTTAATGCAAGCGTTTCACAGTTGCAATTGTAATTTGTGGCTGCCATGCTTGTGGTGCTATATCAAGATCATGTAAATTGGAACAACCTATCTCTGTAGGGAGTATATGTTACGTTGCGGACGTGGTCATACATTATGTTCGCAACATGGCCATATAAAACTTTTTTATCATTGTCCAAAAACTTAACAAGAAACCAAGCGTCTCATGATAAGATGATGAGACAATGCTGCAAATGCCAAAACCAGGAACATGGTTTATGTTCTGAGTTTCAATTTCTCTGCCAAGTAATGGATGAATTCAAAAAAAAGTATCCTTACGTTAGTACAGTATAAGTTTCATAATCATAATAAATGATGCAATATCGGCGACTTTTCATCATCATCATCGTCGTCATAATCAATCCTTGGGATAGAAGCACAGGTAGATTTCTAAGTCAGGGCCTTCAGAGAATGGAAATTGACCATGAAATTGAACCAATTCTCTTCCGGTATGGTTGATGTTGCTGCCCATGACATTGACTTATCCTTGAAACTCTCATCGCAAAACGATACGCACCATTGAAATCAAACAAACTACAAGAGCTTCAGTGCACCTGTTACATCATCAACCACTTCAACAGGTCCTGCATATGAATGGGTTGAAAATTTGGGATAAGTGAAGTACAGGTAAAGTGATGAGGGAAAATCAAAGTTACATTTCGATATTGTACATTTTGCCAGACATAAGAATTCCATATGCTACATTCACAAGCTCAAAACCTCTCCTACCCAATATCCTACCAACATAATATAGGGGGGGTTGGCCTCCCAATCAACCAATCAAGTCGACAACACCCCACGCATGGGGACTATGCTTAAGAAAGGCTCATCAACAAACAAGATAATGGAGAAGAGAAACATACCAAGAATAGCCATCACTGTCCTTGAATCTGGAAGAAAACATAGGACCAAATAAGTAACTTTGGAAGGTCAACTCAATAAGAAACAAGTTAAGAATATAAATTCATGGTGCATATGGGGAACAAATACAAGAAGTTAGAACGGATCAGTTTGCAGCAGTACTCAAAAAACAAGTAACACCAAAATACAATTACAAAATGTCAATGAGGATGGCGGTACACAACTTGGAAACTCTCATTCTTCAAGAGCATTACGCTGATCGACTTGATTCAATCTTTCTCAAGTTGTGATCATGAAAGCCTCCGCTTCTCAGTAATATATTCAAATTTTTGTGAGTAAAACTAGTTTTTTATTTGATTGACATTAGTGACATGAACATCACCAAAGGCTAAAAGAATTTTAAAATCAAGATTAACGTCAGCTATAGAAATGTAACCAAGCAACTCACTTGGTGCAATCTGAGTCCTGCCAGCATCAATTGTAATGTGTGTCGGTAAATTCAGCGATTTAGCCCTTTCCTGTCAAAATCCACAACAATTTTTACATCAACCATAAAGTTCAACTCACGGGAAATATACAGAGAAATTTGTATATGATACTGACTTGCAAAACTAGCATATCTTCTTCACTTTCTATTTTCAAAACAACTTTAGGCTGTGCACACATCTCCCACCTGCGGATTGGGAAAACACCATTACAGGAAACATAGAAAGGTATGCAAAATCCCATTGTCTGACGGAGAAAAAAACACAGAGTAGTGTGTTGCTTTACCTGTTTAAAGCTTTTGGTGCTCGATGGAGGACCTTTTTATAGAGGCCTAAAGTCGCATGGCTAAACAATGAACAAACATTCCGATAACAAGTTTGAACAAAAAAAAATAATTCGATCAATAGAGAAAAATTAACTAGTCAATAAAGGCTCGTTTCAAAGTGCTTTTAAAGAAGTTAACCATTGAACAAACACAACACCTATAATTGCTCAATTTGAAAATACATAAAAGGGTGCAGATAAAGGAGTGGCTTAATTTTAATGCCCCAAACAAAAAGAAAAAAAAAAAAGAGTATCTACAGCTACCTGCATTGAGCGCCAATTTTCCCTTTACCCATCTTTAGATCATTCCTGACCACCAAAACCTGAAGAAAACAATCAAGAAAGTGAATACAGGAATTCGGAATCACAGGTGCTTCGAAATCATCAAGTATTGAAGGAAGAGAGAGAGTGATGAAGCTTGAAACAATACCATTTTGAAATCTTGGAGAATGTCGGCAAGGTTTTCAATCTCGAGGGGATCTTTGGGCTTGCCCTTGTTCTTCTTCTTCTTTCCATTGTTAAGATCATTGGCAGCCTGCTTAGCGAGTCTGGCTGAGAAAATAATGCGAGAAGGAGGGTAACGAGCGCCAAGGCAATAACCCAAAGCAAGCCAGCCCGCTCCTACCAAAATCGCACCCACCCACCCCAACCCCAACTCCAACCCCATCATCATTGATCTTGCATCCGAGTACCGATTTTCGGAAGTTTGTAACCCTAGATCGGACGGCTGTGAACGTGCTTGGGGTTTTGCAGTGGAGGAGGAGAAGCGGAACAACTAGTGCCAGATTCGGATGGGTTGTATTTTCTTCTTATTTCAAAATGATAATTGAGATTATTTATCTATTTTTTTGTATATTTGCTTGAAATAAATATTTCATCAGCAGTATTTAGTCAATAGATATTTATTTTTCAACGTAGTTGACCTTGAAAATGTTGAGCTCGATTCCTAAATGTCCAACTCACAATAAATTAGAAAATTTGAGTTCGTTCAAGTGTTAATTTTAAAGAAAATTACTGAAAATGGTTTGAAAATTTTGAATTTTAACGATAGCAACAAAATAAAAGGTAAAATAAATAGTACCAGATTTGATTTTTTTAGTGTAAAAATATAATTTTTTGTTAAATTGAACAATATCACGGGCTTTACATTAAAACTCCCTAATTTTAATAAGCGAGTCTCATGAGTTTGACTGATTCTTATATTCTCTTACAACTTTTAAACTCACAATGCTTCAAAATCCATTCATACATTTGAGTAGAGGTGGTTAGGTATGAGATCTTAAACCAAAAAAAAGATGTCGAATCTCAGATTAAAAATTTTCAGGACGAGAATTTGAAGGCCAATCTTGAACCAAAATTCCTGTATTCCGAATTTTTAAGATTCCCGAAATATTTTCGGTATTTCAGGATGATTCGGTATTCCCAAATTTCATACAAATTGAAAACCAATCATTTATACCAAGTCAAATTAACATGTAACCAAAATAAAAGTAACAAACCCAAAAGTAAAAAATTAAGTTACAAACCTAACATATTCGAAAACTAACAATACAATTTTTTTATTTCGGGTTGAAGAAATAGACACATTTGGTGGGAGGTTGGCAATAAAGGGCTATGTTTACTACCTGTAGACCACACCAATTACATTGCTACTAGTAGTTAGCAACAAATCAAATGTATAGACACACACACACATACATATAAATATACACTAATATATATGTAATATTTATTTTCGGTTTGGTTTGGGATTACTGAAACATCGATGAGATAATGTCGATTCCTATACCGAAATTTCGAGATTGGTTCAGTATGTCATCCAGAAAATTTTGGGAATTTTGGTTTGGGACTTTGATAGGGGCATATTTATGCACCTTAGTTTAGCTTGTTTTGTGCATTTAAAGTGTTTTTCCTTAGTAAAGTAGTCTTTTAAGCTAGTTTTATGTATTTTCAGGATTTAAGGGCAAAGTATGCAAAATGATGCATTTTGGAGCCTTTTGGAGTAAATTAGAGCTTGGAATGGATATCATATGCTTGGAGCCAAGAGGATGGACGAAATTATTGCAGCCACCAATCACCCTAGCTGTCACTCACATGCTTTCCCATTCTATAATTCACCCACATGCTCTCCCATCATCATTCCACACCTCCATTGCAGCCACCAACCAACCTAGCTGTCACCCACATGCTCTCCCATCATCATTCCTTCTTTAATCCATTCAGCCACATGCTTTCCCATGTGATTATTCAGCCACATCCATGCACTCTTCATGATGGCAGCCACATTCTCTCCCTAGCTGTCATATTCCCTCTTTAATCATTCATCCACCTATAAATAAACCTCCATTGCAGCCACAAATGATTCATTCATTCACCATTCACGCCAGAAATTCATCCCCTCTCTATAACACATCCATACTTCACCATTCTTCATATTTTCTGCCCAAAAATAAGCCTTGAAGTCCCCTACATCCATCCCTATCCTAAACACATCATTCTACACCATCCATAACCCCCAAAACCTATCCTTAGACCTTGTGCAGCAACAAAGAAGAGGAGAAGGGCCTAAACGTTCATACAATTCAAGTTTGAGTTGTTGGAATTTTTAGGTGTTTCTTTTCCTTGATTTCAATGTTTAATTTCAATTCTCTTTGTTTTGTGTGTATGAGGAACTAAACCCCCCCTTGGCTAGGGGGGGATTCGAAATACATGTTTATGCTTGCAATATGATTTGATTACTTCCAATTGCGTTTCATAAGTTGTGAATTCAATTTACTTGTCTATGTGAATTACATTGATTTGTGTGTGTTGGTTGAGAGTGCACGCTTAATTATCATGCATAAATTGGATGCTAGGATATAAGGAAATTTCACCTAATCGTTATGGAATTATATTCACAAGTAGTAAAGGTTGATGATCTCAATCGCGTTAAGTAAATTCTTGGCATAAGTTTCATGTAATCATAGTAACAAGTGCTTCGTCAACGCTTATGGTTTTCATAGAACTTAATGATTCTTGCTTGTATCTCTATTATGCAATCATGTAGGGGACTTGTGGGGAATGTTTTGGGTTGTCGTATGCAATCATCCAATTCAATAACATTAGGAAAATCTGAGGGTTAATTAGTGCAATTCACGGTTAATCTGGGGCGTTGAGAATTCATGGTCTATTGAAAAGCAATTAGAAATCGTTTTGTGTGCAAGTGTGACATGTGTGGAGAAGAACCCTCTAGCTAGCATTTCATCCATATTTTCATCAAATTCATCTTTACAATCTGTTTGAATTACATTCTGTGCATTTTATTTAATTTTGTCAAAAACTCAATCCCCTTTTGCTTTAGTGTCCAACTTAGTTAGAAAGTGTCTTAGTTTGTGTTTTTAAGTGTTTTGATTCATTTTATTACCCAATTTCGTCCAAAGTAGTCAAAGTGCTCAAAACTGCCCAGAAAGTGTTTTTAAGGCTGTTTTGAGTGTTTTGGGTGCTGTTTGAGTCTTTTGGTTTGTTTTAGTGTTTTAAGTGTTTAGTTTTGCATTCTTTGAGTCTAGTTCAGTGTTTTAAACTTTATTTTACGTTTTTGAGTCAGTTTCCAAGTGATTTTGCAATCCCTCCTAATCCCCGGTTAAGAACGATCCCTACTTATACTTATACTACAATTGTCACAAGAGGGTTTTAATTTGTGTGCGTATAATTCTCACATCAGACTTTTTGGGGTTGGGATTGGGATTTTCAGGAATTTTTTCCAGCCCTACAAATTTTAGTCGAACTTATATAAACAAACGTAATAAGCCCTTATCATCATCAACTTTGGTCGACACCCTATTTACCAGTTTCCAATACGCATTACCTATTTCCAAAATACGAATTATCGATTAATAGTATGCAAATCTTAAAATATATATTAAGCTCATGAATAACAATATTGTCGAAACCCAATTTGTGCACCTTTGTAAGCAACGGTTGAGTACAATCTATGTAATCTTGAGCAACCTGCAAAACAATGAATGATCTTAATCTCAAGCAGTGGGCAGTATAGATTGTGTTACTATAGATGAATCCTAGATGAGTGTATTTATATTGTGGGAGAGAGACATTTTTAGGATAGAATCCTAGAGGATATCTAGTAAGTACATATTGCATCATCTTAAGAGTTGTGATTACTTGTGGCGCACGCCATCCCTAAATTATAGGGACTCCAAGACTTATACGATCTGTTTGTGTCCATATCCAAATCAAGTCTCGTGTCTTGCGGAACAAGCATGGTCATCCAGCAGAGCGACTCCACCTATTGCCCTAGAGTAGAGTGATGGTGGCACCCTGCTCCATTTGTACAGCTCTACCCTGAGCTGGCGAGTTCATGACAAGACTTATGAGGTAACTGTATTCAAATCAACCTTACTTCAGCCCTAGAAAATCATGGTCCCACAAATATCATGAATAACAATATTGGAGCTATCAAAACGATTCATCATCAAGAATTGAATAGTATAAGATAGAATGATCTTTTATCCATACTAAACTCAAAATTTAATTCCTAATATTTTTTTTGAAAAAAAAAAGGTAAACGCAAGTGCAAGATTTCGCCTTTTATTTTAGTATTATTTTTCGAATGGAAATCAAAACACTGTCATTAATGAATTTTTTTTGTGCGAGTAGAAGACGACAAAAGCGAGCTACTGAGGAAATAGACGAAATACCAAACGAAAAAAAATATTAGGAAACTTTAACGAAAAACTTCCGGTACTGTTCACTTTAACGAAAAACCACATTTTTACACTAAAAAGTCAATCATAGTACTATTCACTTTACCCTTTATTTTGTCTTTATCGTTTAAACTCAAAGTTTTCAAGCCCTTTTCATTAGTTTTCCTAATATATTATCCAAAAAATAAAGAAACTTTTGCAATAAACAATCACAAGTAAATCATTTAATTGACACGTAGAACAATTTTAGTTTCTTGTATGGAAGAAGAAGAAGAAGAAGAAGAAGAAGAAGAAGAACAATTTTAGTTTCTTGTATGGAAGAAGAAGAAGAAGAAGAAGAAGAATATATTATCGAAGAAGAAGAAGAAGAATATATTATCCAAAAAATAAAGAAACTTTTGCAATAAACAATCACAAGTAAATCATTTAATTGACACGTAGAACAATTTTAGTTTCTTGTATGGAAGAAGAAGAAGAAGAAGAAGAAGGGGAGAAAGAGACAGATTGGGAAGTGAAGAAGGTGGGGTGAGGTGGAAGGGTGAGAAAGAAGACAGAGATCGAATTTGTGAGTGCGTTTAATGCAAGGAAATTTGTCGTTCAACTTGCAAATTTAGCCGATACAACTGATAACATTCAAATTTTTTTTTAATTTCAGTATTTGAATTTAGTAATTCGAATGTTTCTTTTATTAGTTTTAATAGAGGGAAAAAAGGAAATGAAGAAAGATAGAGCATTTAACATTAATGTTAGGGATATTAAAATTGTAAACTAAATTAGAAAACTAAATGAGGTGTTACTAATAAAAAATGAGCACTTTTATCAACGATGAAGTAATAATCTAATTACCAACCTCAATGTCATTTAGTTTACAAAATTTAATCTATAAATTTAGTCTATCTAGTATTACTCTTCACCAAATAAGCCAACCCAAATGAGTAAGTTTTCTAGGGAAGAGAGAGAGAGAGAGAGAGAGAGAGAGTTTTTGAGGAGAGAGAGGGACTTTTTGAGAGGGGAGAGAGAGAGAGAGGAAGGCATGTAGAATTCAAAGCTTACAGCAAAACCCATTTCTTAGTTTCCAATCACTTTCACC